AGCCTTGGGACCCGGCTGCTGTGGCGTGTGAGAGCCACTATTGTAAAACCAGGCTCCTGACTTAGTGAGGATTTCTTGTTGTTTTCGGCACAAATTACACACCCACATCACCTGCACAATAACACAGGAAACAGAAATAAGTCTCCCTCAGAATGAAAGACAAACAAAAGGAGAGAAAATTCAAGCCAACAAAAAAATTACCTGGTTATACTTTTGAAGTTAAAATGAAATCAAGACTAAATGCTACTACAAAATAAATTCATCCTTTCTTTTAATTTATAATTCATTCTTTCTTTTAATTTTATAAGCATGATTATAATAAGATTACATTGACAGAAAAACCCATATCGAAATGATAGTTGTTTGCTTGTATTTTGTAGTTATTTTTGCTTATTTAGAAGCATGATGTAGTAAACAGAAAATGAATTTTGGAGTTAGCCAATTTTAAAGAGTATCTCCAAAATAGGAAAGCAAACTCTTTAGCAAGGTACATAACTATAGAACTCGGTTTCCATAACAAGCAAAGGATAAAAATAAAATGATAGTATTTCTTACATTGTTTTTTTCAAATAAAAATAATTCACAAAATGCATGTTATATACTAGATTTCCAGTATATTAACTGTTACTATTAGGGCAATAGTCTACCACCAACTATATTCCGTGCTTATTTAAAGAGGTTTATTTCTTTTAAGTAGCCACTAATGGCTAATACAAAGCTAAGAACACTACTAGTTTCAATAAATCCTATTCATTCATCATAATCTGTAATGATATGTTTGATTCTTTTATTTTTACATCTACATTTATTTTTGTACTATTCAAAACAGCTAAGTGATATATCCAACCTAGGCATCCATCAAGAGATGAATAGACCAAGAAGAGACAGTACATAGACACAACTGCATTCTAGTCACCAAGAGAATAATGACCATGGGGCCGGGCATTGGTGGCGCACGCCTTTAATCCCAGCACTTGGGAGGCAGAGGCAGGCAGATCTCTGTGAGTTCGAGGCCAGCCTGGTCTACAGAGCGAGTTCCAGGACAGGCCCCAAAAAAATACAGAGAAATCCTTACAAATAAAAAAAAAAAGAATAATGACCATGATGTGTGCAGGAAAACAAATGCAGTAGACTTCTATGCTGTGGAATAAGCCAGATTCAGAAAGAAAATGACTGCATGCATTCTCTCCTACACTGACTCTAGATTTAGTGACGGGGTCTTGAATAGAAATAGAATCAGGAGAGGGATGAAACAGATACTGTTCCAGTGTGGAGGCCATGAAAAGGCAGGCAGGAGGGAGGGAGAGAAACAAGATAGGATGGATAGATAGATGGATAGATAGATAGACAGATAGATAGATAGATAGATAGATGATAGATAGATAGATAGACACATACATACATACATACATAGATGATAGATACATAGATGATAGACAGATAGATAGATAGATAGATAGATAGATAGATAGATGATAGATAGATAGATTGATAGATGACAGATAGACAGACAGATGATAGATAGACAGATGATAGATAGACAGACACATGATAGATAGATAGATAGATAGATGATAGACAGATCATAGATAGATAGATAGATAGATAGATAGATAGATAGATAGATAGATAGATAGACAGACAGATAGAGGAGTAAATAGAGCAAAAGTACCTAATACAACAAATGTGCATCAATAAAAAGTATTTCCACAAAAATACAAGATATACTTGATTTCTGTTTCAGTTTTTAAAAAATCCAACAAATTGAACCAAACTGACTGCTTTTAAATGACACTTCAGTAATATTAACTATATTCAAATTGTTCCCAAATAGAATTTGAAAACTTCTTATAAGCTTCAACTCTGCACCCATTAGACAGCAATGCGCCTCTCCTCCTCTCCCAGCCAGGGCACCACCTATCTCGTGCTTAGTTTGTAACTGAAATATTTTCTCAGAATCCAGTAATCTAAGGACATTATTGCTGCGTGACCAGAAAACATTCTCCCTCATCTCAAAACTCTTTTTTGATTAACTGGGAAATGTAAAAAGCAAGAAAGGAAGCAAGGAGTATTGTGAAATGCAAGGCAATCACACATTTCCAGTGAGTACGAACATATGCTCACCCTGACTCTCACACAGACTCCACATTTGGGGATATTTTTTCATATTTAAACAACTTAGAACAACACAGACAATCACAGAAAGCCTTTCTGCCTGGGAATCAACAACAGGGCAGAAATAAGCTTATGAAATACACAATGACCTATCACTGCCTCCAACCTGGTGTTTTTCACTGAAATAAGGAAGTTTTTTGCAAAATATCATTTAAATGTTTTGCTTAATGTTCCATTAAATCAGTTGTATTATTTGTATAGTTTGTATCACACAGCATTATAAGTGTTTATGATGGTCGTGATTCCTGTTCTTTCACTGGATGGGATACACATTCCTTCATTCACTATTAAATTCACTATTATTGTTGGGAGCAAAGACTCTATCTTCTATTATCTTCTAGTAAGATCATATAAATCATAGACTACTAAGATCTAAATGCCTATCTTGAAGTCACTTGTAATCCTGAAGGAAATACAATGAGGTTTTTAATATTATAAAACCAAGATTTATGTTTCATCAATTAAATTCCCAAATAAGTTACTCATCAATAATGTCAATATATTTATCAATTTTGTTTTGTAATTAATAAGTATTTTTTAAAAAGCATTGTCTCACTCTGGTTTTTAATAAACAAGTTCTATGGTTCAAGTTTCATTTTCTATGATGGGTCTGAATAGATGTTAAATAAAAATATATTCAAATGCATCAATCAGTAGTTTAAAAATCAAATTATGTCCAAATGATAACCAAGGCTTTGAGATGGCTTGTGAGAACTGGAGATACTTGCAGGCCTCTGTTAAGTGGAAGGTACTTTGAAAATAAATGAAAGAGTGTGGCCAGGAAGCAAACCAAGGACGCTTGTTAGGCAGATCATCTTCTCCTGAGCTAAATTCTCAAGCCCAAGCCCGACAAATAAAATCTGCATTTCAACTTCTCTCTTTTAAACAAGTTGCTATTTCGATTACAATGATAATCTGTTAGAGGACTCTAAAGATTACCGGTCTTTGAAATAAGCCACATTCAAGACATTAAATAATAACAGCTTTTCGTGATGGCTAAGAATGAAACAAATGAATTTGCAAGGCAGCTGTCTACACAGTGT